TTTGACCTGTCTCTACATATGTTACTGCTATTTGACCTGTCTCTACATATGTTACTGCTATGTGACCTGTATCTACATATGTTACTGCTATTTGACCAGTCTCTACACATGTTACTGCTATTTGACCTGTCTCTACATATGTTACTGCTATTTGACCAGTCTCTACACATGTTACTGCCATTTGACCTGTCTCTACACATGTTACTGCCATTTGACCTGTCTCTACATATGTTACTGCTGTTTGACCTGTCTCTACATATGTTACTGCTATTTGACCATTCTCTACATATGTTACTGCCATTTGACCTGTCTCTACATATGTTACTGCCATTTGAGCTGTCTCTACACATGTTACTGCCATTTGACCCGTCTCTACATATGTTACTGCTATTTGACCTGTCTCTACACATGTTACGGTTATTTGACCTGTCTTTACATATGTTACTGCTATTTGACCTGTCTCTACATATGTTACTGCTATTTGACCTGTCTCTACATATGTTACTGCCATTTGACCTGTCTCTACATATGTTACAGCTATTTGCCCTGTATTTACATATGTTACTGCTATTTGACCTGTATCTACATATGTTACTGCAATTTGACCTGTCTCTACATATGTTACTGCCATTTGACCTGTCTCTACATATGTTACTGCCATTTGAGCTGTCTCTATACATGTTACTGCCATTTGACCTGTCTCTACATATGTTACTGCTATTTGACCTGTCTCTACACATGTTACGGTTATTTGACCTGTCTCTACATATGTTACTGCCATTTGACCTGTCTCTACATATGTTACAGCTATTTCACCTGTCTCTACATATGTTACTGCCATTTGACCTGTCTCTACATATGTTACTGACATTTAACCTGTCTCTACATATGTTACTGACTAACTGGCCTATCGTTACATATGTTACTGCTATTTAACCTCTATCTACATATGCTACACCTATTTGACCTGTATCTACATATCTTACAGCTATTTGACCAGTCTCTACATATGTTACTGCCATTTGACCTGTCTCTACATATGTTACAGCTATTTGACCAGTTTCTACATATGTTACTGCCATTTGACCTGTATCTACATATGTTACTGCCATTTGACCAGTATCTACATATGTTACTGACATTTGACCTGTCTCTACATATGTTATAATTATTTGACCTGTCTCTACATATGTTACTGCCATTTGACCTGTCTCTACATATGTTACAGCTATTTGACCTGTCTCTACATATGTTACTGTCATTTGACCAGTATCTACATATGTTACTGCTATTTGACCTGTCTCTACATATGTTACTGCTATTTGACCTGTCTTTACATATGTTACTGCTATTGGACCTGTCTTTACATATGTTACTGCTATTGGACCTGTCTCTACATATGTTACTGCCATTTGACCTGTCTTTACATATGTTACTGCTATTTGACCTGTCTTTACATATTTTACAGCTATTTGACCTGTCTTTACATATTTTACAGCTATTTGAGCTGTCTCTACATATTTTACAGCTATTTGACCTGTCTTTACATATTTTACAGCTATTTGACCTGTCTCTACATATGTTACTGCCATTTGACCTGTCTCTACACATGTTACTGCCATTTGACCCGTCTCTACATATGTTACTGCCATTTGACCTGTCTCTACACATGTTACTGCCATTTGACCCGTCTCTACACATGTTACTGCTATTTGACCTGTCTCTACATATGTTACTCCTATTTGACCTGTCTCTACCCATGTTACTGCCATTTGACCTGTCTCTACACATGTTACTGCCATTTGACCCGTCTCTACATATGTTACTACTATTTGACCCGTATCTACATATGTTACTGCTATTTGACCTGTCTCTACATATGTTACTGCCATTTGACCTATCTCTACATATGTTACTGCTATTTGACCTGTCTTTACATATGTTACTGCTATTTGACCTGTCTTTACATATGTTACTGCCATTTGACCTGTCTCTACATATGTTACTGCTATTGGACCTGTCTCTACATATGTTACTGCTATTTGACCTGTCTTTACATATGTTACTGCTATTTAACCTGTATCTACATATGTTACACCTATTTGACCTGTCTCTACACATGTTACTGCCATTTGACCTGTCTCTACATATGTTACTGCCATTTGACCTTTCTCTACATATGTTACTGCTATTGGACCTGTCTTAACATATGTTACTGCTATTTGACCTGTCTTTACATATGTTACTGCCATTTAACCTGTCTCTACATATGTTACTGACTTATTAGCCTATCGTTACATATGTTACTGCTATTTAACCTCTATCTACATATGTTACAGTAACTGTTATTCGACCTGTATCTACATATGTTACTGCTATTTGACCTGTCTTTACATATGTTACAGCTATTTGACCTGTCTTTACATATGTTACTGATATTGGAGCTGTCTTTACATATGTTACTGCTATTTGACCTGTCTTTACATATGTTACTGCTATTTGACTCGTCTTTACATATGTTACTGCTATTTGACCTGTCTTTACATATGTTACTGCTATTTGACCTGTCTTTACATATGTTACTGCTATTTGACCTGTCTTTACATATGTTACTGCTATTTGACCTGTCTTTACATATGTTACTGCTATTTGACCTGTCTTTACATATGTTACTGCTATTTGACCTGTCTTTACATATGTTACTGCTATTTGACCTGTCTTTACATATGTTACTGCTATTTGACCTGTCTCTACATATGTTACTGCCATTTGACCTGTCTCTACACGAGTTACTGATATTTGACCTGTCCGTATATGTGACATAATTGTGAAGGCATTTTAACTGAACCAGTTACTGAAAATGAAAACTTAAACAGTGTTGAAACTGATTTCAATTTTGTTTCAGTGTGTGCCGCATACTCCGCGTTAACAGTATGTTGTTACTTTACCCTAACATCCACACATTTAACACATTGATGTCATGGCTAAACTCTAACATTATTACTAATATATCACAATATTTGTACTATGCACATATAGAAAGAAATGTACGGTTAACGGTTAATTCCGCATGTAACATAACGCTTGTACACAAAGGTCTGGTGTCAAAAAGTACTGAAACTATATTGATGGATTGGTTGAACTGTACCAGTATGGTCCTTAACGAAGAACATTTGAACTTCTAAATACTGTTCTGTAAAACATAATATAGTCAGTTCGAGCAGGCATTTATAGAACTAAATCGAACATGAAATTCTTGTCATATGGTACATGTGATATCCAGTTCTTCGGTCATATCAACTGATAAATAACACTGTAGCTCACCTGTACATTAATCAGCGCCTGTCTGCTCACGGGGCCATGGTACAAGTATAATGCAGCTGCAGCATCAAACACCTCACAACACTCACCATATATGTGAATGAGGGCGTTTGGTTTAACGTCACTTTGAATAGTATCTCGGTTATAAGTGGAAGACTTGGCATCCTGGCACGCCCTAGGGATGCAACTCTGTACAGCGAATTGCGGCGCCTTAGACTCCTGGAATACCAAGTGGTTAAAGAAAGGTATTAACGTCATGCTATACATGTAAAAAGTCACCGACTCGATTGGCTTAAATAATTTCAGCTGTCGGTTCTTATTCCCTTCTGAGTGAGTGAGTGAGTGAGTAGGTATTGTTGTACGCCGCTTTTAGTAGTATTCCTGTAATATCACGGTGGGAAACACCAGAGACGGGCTTCACACATTGTAGCCATGGGAGAAATCGAACATGGGTCTTCGGCTTGACGAGCGAACGCTTTAACCACTAAGCTACCGCACTGGCCCTTTATTCCTTTCGACCGCATCCGTGGTCTAGTGGTAGAGCGTCCGTCCGGAGAGCGGAACGTCTGGGGTTGGATCTCGCTGCGTCCAAAAGACGTTAAAAGGTGGTACTTGTAACCCTGTTTGGCGCTCGGCAGGGGCTAAAACAAGGACTGGTCGACTCGGTGTAAATATAGTGTGTCTAAATTGGGTATTCATGTCACACTGCGGCTTGGCATCTCAGTGGGCTAGCACTATAAATCGGCATTAGTCCGGACCAGTACAAGCAGAGCGCGCGCACGCACGCACGCACGCACGCACGCACGCACGCACGCACGCACACATACACACACACACACACACACACACACGCTATATATGTTCAATAATCTGGAACGCGTTGTTAGACCCCATTTCGTCTCAAAGATCGCACGTACACACATTTTATTCTATTTCCTATCACAAAAATGGGATGTACAGTCACATTCAGTCCCAACAGCAACACTAAGAATACCCTATCAACAGTTTAATATTATAATTATTACTTACCGCAAATATGTCCAAACTTACACATAAAGCATCTTGACTTGTTTTTATATCAGGGACTTTTTATGAAGCGTAATAGTTTCAGGAAATCAGAATAATGAAATCAGTAAAAACAGGCAATTGACCACGTACGCGTACTTTGGACCATCTTCAAACCCTTAAGATGAAAAACATTCATTTGAACTTAAAACTCATTTGATGCAGCAGCTGAACAATGAAAGACGGGTGTTTTTTCAACAACGTCTACAAGGGTCGACGTTAAACGCCAATCATGAAACTTTAAAAAATCCTTGAAAACTATATGGAGCGATTATTACTTTTTGAAGAATAGTTTTTTAATATTTTTTAGACATTACACGTGTATTTCTTTCACATTTTTAACCAAACAATCTGAACTTTGTATGTTGTAATCTAAAACAATACGAACATTCTGTAAACAGCGGAAATAGAAAAGAATTTATTTGAAAAAAAAAGTCTAGCACTTAATTATTTCGATTTTCACGTGTAGGATGCAATTACCGATAATTCGAGTCGCAAGTCTGGCACGTGCAAAAAGTGACGTCACTTTGAAACATGCGCTACCGGTAACATAAGCTCCCTACAGGGAAAGTAAGACTCGCTCTTCCTCTTTACAAATATATCAACCATTGGCTCTCCGGCTTCACGAATCCTGCCCGAGACTACGAGAGGCAGCTAGCGTCGCTCTACCTTGGGGTGATGGGAGTGTGCTTAATGCAGGAAACAGCTGTGAAGCCGATACCAAACCCTCTCGCCTTACTCTTTAATCCATTCCATGCCTTTCGTACGCTTCAGTCTGTTTCGAAATGAAGAACAACTAACGCGTGATAACGGATTGTACCAGAGAACAGCACTGTGCGGAGTTACGATTTTTTCCTAGATTTTTACGACATACGTCAACAGTCAAGAGATATTTAATAGATATACTAAGGGTATACTCAGATTAAACTCTGCTGGTCCTAGATTATATGGATTTGTGAAATTCAAGGAATTTTGATATTAGACAGACTGTTACCTGTTTTATCCAAGCGTGGTACCTTGCAGTGTTTTAGGAGGTTATTGCTGTAGTGAGAACCCGCTGGGATAACTGAATTCAGTGATCTTCTTTGGGAAGAGATTATAGAGGCAGTGTAGGACGAGCCACGGAGTGTACATGTAAGATGGTATTTGTGGTATACTCGGGTATGAAGTCAATGTGACAGACCGTGACGAACAACGTTTCTGGATAGGACGACAGCGGATGAACATGTCGCAGAAACGCTTCACGCAGGCAAAGGTTGTGATCCTTGGGGGGCCAGGTGTGGGGAAGACAGGTAAGTGCCTGAATTAGTTAATACGTCTTATATATACTCTCTGTGAAACGTGCATCCTGATAACTCCATCTCGGAAATATTACATGACCGAAAATACATGCATCATACTTAGGTCGTTAGATCAATATCACATTTGGGACAGTCATATATGAGATATATGATATAATTTCTTGTACGTATGTGTGTATTTAATTATATCTTCATTGTCAAGATGAATACGCAGGTTCGCGTCGTTATCAGTCAATACATTATAGTTTAATCAATCTAAACCTTTCAGTGATATATACTTTATGAACAATTAGACTTTAAGGTCACAAATACAAGTCTTTATTACTATACATACATTCAATGTTATGAGCTGTAGAAACCGTCACTGCCACGCCGCATGACACAGTAGGGCGTTGATAACACATGGGGCCAGCACGTTACATCACACCGCATGACACAGTAGGGCGTGGATAACACATGTGGCCAGCACGTTACATCACACCGCATGACACAGTCGGGCGTGGATAACACATGTGGCCAGCACGTTACATCACACCGCATGACACAGTAGGGCGTGGATAACACATGGAGCCAGCACGTTACATCACACCGCATGACACAGTAGGGCGTGGATAACACATGTGGCCAGCACGTTACGTCACACCGCATGACACAGTAGGGCGTGGATAACACATGGGGCCAGCACGTTACGTCACACCGCATGGCACAGTAGGGCGTGGATAACACATGGGGCCAGCACGTTACATCACACCGCATGACACAGTAGGGCGTGGATAACACATGTGGCCAGCACGTTACATCACACCGCATGACACAGTAGGGCGTGGATAACACATGGGGTCAGCACGTTACATCACACCGCATGACACAGTAGGGCGTGGATAACACATGGGGCCAGCACGTTACATCACACCGCATGAGTCACGAGGCCAGCTATGTGTGCAGTAACATCACATCCACGGACACCAAGTAAGGGCTCCGCAGACTTCATCGCCGGGAATCGAACCCGGATTTTGTCGTACACAATGTGACTAGGCACTGCTAGATGTGGACCAGTGTGATTGTCGTGCATACAGATGTGATATGGAGGAGGTATTGCCGTGTTCAAACGGGTGAATCTTTCACACGGCGAGAATGGACAGGATACACCGTCTGCACATCCTTGTCCCGGCGCAACACACATTTAGCTCGTACACTATCACGTTAACGTCATTCATATCACAATGTGGTGTATGTGTCGAACTTGTTTACGAATAGGTTTGGAATGAGTTTGTTGAAGAGTATTTCATCACGGTCTGTTAGCTTACTGTGAGAGGGACGCCCGAACACGTAACGAGCACGGGCAAGATGCCGTCAGACCAAGGATTATAATTGAGGCGAATCCTGCGGATCCTGGAATGACTAAGAAAGGTAACTCTGCACAGCGAGTTGTGGCACCTAAGATCGCTTGGACATCCGTACCCGCGAACGGAAATGTTGTTACAGTTTTTCCCTTCAGAATCCATATCCAAAGACGCCCCAATCATGTTTCTATGTTTGTCAGCACCATACCCGTGCTCGTGAGTTTCACCGAAGTGGTAAATGTCTGAGACCTGCATCAGTTCGGGCTTTCCTCCCACATTAAGCTGACACGCCGTGATATAACTGGAATACTGTTAAAAACGGCGTTAAACTCAACTCACTCACTCAGCCATATCCAAAGACATATATCAGTGAGTGAGTCGGAATAACGTTTAAAGCCGCATTGAACAGTATTTCAGTTATTTGACGAGGTGTTAGTTTCATAAGGGAGGAAAGCCTGAAGTGATGCAGGTCTTAGACGTTTACCACTTTGATGAAACCAACGAGAGTTTGTATGATCTTGACCTTGAAAAGACTTCACGGCGAATGTGGGATTCGAACCAACAACGATCAAAGATGTCTGACAAAGACATTGGACGCAACTCTGCAAAGACAACTGCCCGATAAGTCCCGACATAAAAACTGCTGGACACAAGAAAGTATACTCCAATGTTTGATGGTGGCTAAACATGAAACAAATACGAAATGGTTATTCGATGGCATTATATTTGATACGGTGTGTTTTGCCCACTGTTTTTAGCCCAGCAACGTTTTGATAAAATTTGTAATTTTGGGGTTAGTCCAATTATCAAGTGTATACTTTCTTTTACCCGTCAGTTTATATGATCCTATAGAACACAAACTACTATATGGTAAAAGAAATAGGAAATATAATATAACTTCAATGTCTATATTCCCCGTATCTTGAACAGCCCAATTAAGATAAGCCATGATGTACTACCCAACATCTGAAGCGTCAGGGCAAAGAATGTGATTAGCAATGTGTTGCAATAACGTACTGTACGTGTCTGCTAGTTATACACAATTACCGCGGATGATGTATAGTTGGTTGAGTCAGGAATATTTCACCTCTGATACTTTCGCAGAAGTTCACAAATAAATGTACGCCTGATTCAGCAAAACTCCCCGACATCACGGCAGTCTGTAAACAGTCAGCAGTCTGGAAAACAAGTGTTTGACAGCATGAGCACGGTGACACATATACAACCGATCCACTTATTGTAACCATCCAATACTCATTTTAGCCAGCAGCTTTTACGTGTCTTTGTTTTTAACGCTGCTCTCAGTAATACTTCGGCTATATGACGGCGGTCTGTAAATAATCGAACCTGAATCAGCCAATCCAGTGATTGATATCATGAGCATCGGTTTACGCAATTGGGATACGATGGAATGCATCAACCATGTCAGCGAGCCTGGCTATCCGATCCCGTTAGTCGCCTCTTACGACAAGAGTAGTCGCCATTTACAACAAGCATGGGTTACTGGAGATTTATTCTAACCCATCTTCCCAAGGCAAGAGCGTTCACTTGCCTTTTTTTTTATCAAAGTCTTGTTTCCACCCCTTGTCACATCACGCCCATTTTCCTGTGCTAAACATGATTAACTATGACTATGGCACATATCGATAGTCCAATCAGAGAACGTTTCACAATATCTACATCCACGACCTGTACACCTTCGTATGATAGGGGGCACGGGTGGCCCAGTCGTCTGAGGCGTCGCGATTCGCTGTGCAGAGTTGCATCCCTTGGGCACCATGTTTCCAGGTTTGTCAGCACCCGTGCTCGTGGGTTTCACCGAAGTGGTAAACGTCTGAGATCTGCATCACTTTGGGCTTTCCTCCAACGTTAAGCTGGATATAACTTGAATACTGTTAAAAACGGCGTTAATTTGCCGTTAAACCCAACCCACTCACTCACTCACTCGCCTAAGATAGTGATTTACCGCTTCCTGTCTTTGTAGACACGAATATGTTTTTGTCATCTTTCAAACCCCCAACGATTGGCCATGGTTTTTTTATGAAATCGAGAATGTTTTCGTTTTCTTATCCACTGGATCATCGCATGCGGTAGTCGCCATCTTTAAGAACAGCGATCTGATTGGATAGCGCATTTTTAATACAAGGGACACAACTCATGATCTTCGCGAGGTGGCGCCAGGGTCGAGCTAAGAAAAGTGGCCTTGATGTGGCAAGGGTAGAAACTAAGATTTGATATAGGCTAGTGAACACGATTGCCTCGGGAAGTTGATTCGAAACCGGATCCTCAGCTTTTATGACATGTGTAGGTTTATGAGACTATTCTACCAATGATTCACAGCGTACACAAAGAGATAGAGGTGGGGATATTTTGTGTAAATACTTTCAAATACAACACGGAACACCAGCAGTAAGCTTCATATACTGAACCCACATTGGGACTCGAACCTGGGAATATAGCGTAGCGAGCGAACGTTTACCCACTTGGTTACCTGATCTCACGTACATATTAAGGCGCGCCGCAGATACGCTCGTGCTACAAATGTCGTACAACATTTGCGTATGAATAATGTGTGGGCGAGCGTAATAGTGTCACAAAAGTAATACAGTAGTACAGAAGTAGTACAACAATATCACAGCAGTATCACAGTAATATTACGAAGGTGTCTCAGCAGTATTACGTCAGTGTCTCACCAATATCACAGTATTATTACGGTAGTGGTTCAGCAGTATTAGGCAGTGTCTCACCAATATCACAGTATTATTACGGTGGTGGTTCAGCAGTATTAGGCAGTGTCTCAGCAATATCCCAGTATTATTACGGTAGTGGTTCAGCAGTATTAGGCAGTGTCTCAGCAATATCACAGTATTATTACGGTAGTGGTTCAGCAGTATTAGGCAGTGTCTCACCAATATCACAGTATTATTACGGTGGTGGTTCAGCAGTATTAGGCAGTGTCTCAGCAATATCCCAGTATTATTACGGTAGTGGTTCAGCAGTATTAGGCAGTGTCTCAGCATATCACAGTATTATTACGGTAGTGGCTCAGCAGTTATACTGTATAACGTCAGTGCCTCAGCAATATCACAGTATTATTACGACAGTATCTCAGCAATATCACAGTATTATTACGACAGTATCTCAGCAATATCACAGTATTATTACGACAGTATCTCAGCAATATCACAGTATTACTACGACAGTGTCTCAGCATATCACAGTATTATTACGACAGTATCTCAGCAATATCACAGTATTATTACGACAGTATCTCAGCAATATCACAGTATTACTACGACAGTGTCTCAGCATATCACAGTATAATTACGACAGTATCTCAGCAATATCACAGTATTATTACTGCAGTATCTCAGCAATATCACAGTATTATTACGACAGTATCTCAGCATATCACAGTATTATTACGATAGTATCTCAGCAATGTCACAGTATTATTACGACAGTATCTCAGCAATATCACAGTATTATTACGACAGTATCTCAGCAATATCACAGTATTACTACGACAGTGTCTCAGCATATCACAGTATTATTACGACAGTATCTCAGCAATATCACAGTTTTATTACTGCAGTATCTCAGCAATATCACAGTATTATTACGACAGTATCTCAGCAATATCACAGTATTACTACGGTACTGTCTCAGCATATCACAGTATTATTACTGCAGTATCTCAGCATATCACAGTATTATTACGACAGTATCTCAGCAATATCACAGTATTATTACGGTGTCCCAGCAGTAATATTTCGGGACTAATAGAAATGTTAAATTCTAAATTAGGAAGTAACCGACAAACACAAACTTTCCGTCCCTGTGGCGACTGCACGCTTTAGTCAGATCCGCGCGTTCAATTGTCAGGTCGTGTGTTTTATCTTTTATTTTTTTTTTAGCAGTAAATATTTACCCCACTGGCGAAACCCATATGCACGGGTATGATGCGGACATATCAAGGATCATAATCAGGGCGACTCTTGGATTCGAACTCCCTATCACATGATCCTGGCGACTAAGGGGCGTAACTCTACACAGCGAATTGCGGCACACTGGATGGCATGGTAGTTCCCCGCGATCCTTCAAATAGCGGGTTTAGTCTCCAAGTGTTAATCGAGTGGATATGGTCATGTGGTATTTTCCATATGGACTAGAATCAGTCTCTCCTTAACGGAAGTGTTTCCAAAACTGAACGAATCACAACAAGACACGGAATGTGAACAGTTAATTTTTTGTGCGCTCCAACTGTTTTAATGCATCCTAAAGAAATAACATAATTTCTCGAAAATTACCATGTTCGAGTTATTGGCAAAACTTGAGAGTGAAATATTCTCATTACATCACAGAATAATTACTAGTTAATGATGGAAGAGTAGCGTTGTCTATTTTTCTGTATGTGGACAAGCGTTTACACGGAATCTTCAGCCTGGGTTTTATTTTTCAAGTGATGTTATTTGCTCAGCAGACGTCGAGGTGTAGTGTTTCCTAAAGAACTCCCTTTGCCACGATGCTAAAACTTGTCAAAACATCGTAAAACCAGCCAGCTTTATTCTATTATAAAACCTCGCGGTCTGAAATGATCATTTACTTTTTCTGTTTTCTGAGACTGTAAGGAACATCCTATATGTGCTGAAGTCGTGATAAGCCTGTGTATATCTCGTCAGTGTCACAGAAGCCGCCAACCTCGAATGATGTACTCCTTTATCTTTTAATAGATGATAATGTTGATCTTGATCTTCTAATCAGTGCACAAGTCTACCGAGGAGTAGATCTATGTAGTGCATGCACAACCACATACCCGTCAGTATGAATGCATGTGTATGCATGCCTGCTTGTTCCCTGCCCGTGTGTATTAACGTGGACATGTGGGCACCCTGGTGGGGCGGCTGTACATAACGGGCTGCATTGATAGACGTAATTATTTCCATGGAACAGATTAGTGAGACTGTTTAACATACATGCCTCACAGCGAGGGGTTCACTGGTGGCACCGCCGTCTGTGGAATATGCTCTGAGAAATCATGGCTCAACATCGGCATACCATGCATGGACTAGATTCTTGTTGTCATTCATCGTGTTTTACCGACGATAATTAACCTGCTCATTCTCCGAGTAAAAACGGGACGATTAGAACGGTTATTTGAAGCCTGACCTACCGAAACCCCAAGAGAGTTGATTTTACGGATGGAAACATTTGTAGACCTGCACACGTACCCTGCATACACCCTGCACACACCCTGCACACGTACCCTGCATACACCCTGAACACACCCTGCACACGCCTTCAGCATCCCCTTCAGTCGCCTCCAGCATCCGACACCGAGAATCATTTGGGATCGATGACATGCATCAACCAAGTCAGCGAGCTTGACCAACCGATCCCGTTTGTCATCTCTTACGACAAGCATAGTCGCCTGTTACGGCAAGCATAGTCGCCTGTTACGGCAAGCATAGTCGCCTGTTACGGCAAGCATGGGTTGCTGAAGACCTATTCTACCCCGGAAATTATTCTGTAATACTGCTGTAATATTGCTGTAATATTCCAAACACCAACATGAACTACAATGCATTCTGTCCAATACATGCAAGTTCACATCATATACAATGTTTCTTCCCTCTCGCGGTCTACACAAAGCAACAATCACGCAAAACAATGTCCCATTTGAAGGAGCAATTGTTGACATTATTCAAAACACAAATCGATCTAAAAACTTGCAATTTGGGAGGCAAGCTCTGTTTAAACGCACACACAGAATAATACGAGAAAGGACAGGTTTATTACTTCACAGACTTGTTTCTTAGCAGAAGCGTTGCTCGTGACGTTTTAAGACTATTGGCTTCGCCAGACAACCAGCGTGGGTTAATGTGTGCATGTGTTGGAATAACTTTGGCTGTTGTGTTTTTTAGTTCTGAGCACTATCTTGTATTGCCTCAGTGGGGAAGTGACAAGACATCCACTTGGCCCCCGTGTCAAACTCGTTATCAGCTTCATGTCTATATTTATGTTTTTTTCTCCATTAGGCGTATCATATCGGTATCGCGTTATTCGCGTCAAGTGTGACATGGCCGCTTTCCGCGAAGTATTGAGCAAGGTGCGTACGAGAGATTCGTGATTTCAGTGTGGTAAGGAATTTAACTTCTTTTATTATTATTTTGGATATGATGGATGGGTTGTCGCGTGGTTGAGATGCAGAAATGTTAGGGGATTGTAAACATACATACATTGTATGCCACGTGATACACAATTCATTGTCCTGATCTTGTCCTAATCGCAATTCTCACCTGTGAGTAAGTGATTGACTATTGTGTGACGCCGCACACATCACATCTTCCCGGGCCAAGGGTGTTAACTGACTATAAAAGTCCAGTTCACACCCTTGTCGAACTAGACTGGAATAATGGAATCATTTTTGGGCTGGACTAACGAGTCTAAGCATAGTCCAATCAAAATCGTGTAACGAAATCGACACCCGGTTCATAAAAACATGGCGACTGCCCTGCAGATTTCTGTCGATTGCAGGATTTGTAGAGCATGTGTACCGTCAACTGGCTGTCAACCGATATTTTCAAAGTCATTTCATGTTTTTAAACAAGGTACTCAGGTGAGTTAATGATTTCCCGAGGTAAGACCCGTTTTGTTCCAATAAGGACCTTCATTATCGATCAGGTAGTGTTGACTGGGCGCCGCCATTTTGTTGAAAAAATAAGCTCTATGACAGGTGGAATCTGATTGGTCAAGAAGAGGTTTTCTAGAATAGACTACGATCCATGCTGCTGTACGATCACCTAGAATCATCCAGATGACACTCTGTAACCACCCATCCTCATTAAACGGCTCTTGTATCGAGCATGAAGGACAGGGGACCCACAGCTTAGCCCTGGGTTGCCTCAAAGGGCGAACGTGTGTTCATGTAAGTGAGTGGGTATGGTTTTACGCCGCTTTTAGCACTACTCCAGCAATATCGCGGCAATATCATTGTACCCATGTGGGGAATCGAACCCGGGTCTTCGGCGTGACGAGGGAACGCTTTAACCACAAGGCTTCCACCGCCCATGTGTTTATGTACTCGTTGGAGTGTTTGCAATTGTTAAATATCAACCTATATATTTTATATGGACATTCCGGTAATTTAGCACTAATATCACATATGGAGACACCAGAACTGCGCTACAGGCACTGTTCCCATCTGGGGAATTGATCCCGGGTCATCGGCGTGACGTGCGCCTTATCTACTGAGCTACCTCACCGTCCCTAAACATAACGAATAATGCTCATGCAAAATACAATGGGTAGGTAGGTTTTAATTAAATTTGATTTTACGCTGAATATATATAAATACGAGAAGTAGGTCATAAAATATTATAAAAGAAGTCATGTATTTGTTTAATATCAAAATTTGAATAACATATTTTTTATTTCAGCTTTTGCGGTGCGCTACATTACGCGGCGTTACATTGGGGATTACGACGCCAATAAAGGTAGGTAGATTTACCTATGTCGGCTCAGTGCAGAATCATAATGCCCAATGACAGCTCAGTACAGAATTACGCAATAATGACCAACGACAGCTCAGTACAGAATTACGTAATAATGACCAATGACAGCTCAGTACAGAATTATGTAATAACGACCAATTACAGCTCAGTACAGAATTACGTAATAATGACCAATGACAGCTCAGTACAGAATTATGTAATAACGACCAATTACAGCTCAGTACAGAATTACGTAATAATGACCAATGACAGCTCACTACAGAATTACGTCATAATAATCAATGACAGCTCGGTACAGAATTACCTAATAATGACAAATGACAGCTCAGTACAGAATTACGCAATAATGACCAATGACAGCTCAGTACAGAATCACTTAACAATTACCAATGACAGCTCGCCCGTATATGGTTCAGTACGAGTACTCTATTGTATTCACCGATGCCTTTATTCAGTACACGTGTTACACCTTCACGGGGCAATGGGGCATTACAAGCATACTACAGGTGAGTTGATTCAATCAAATCAACTTAAACGATTTTCCATATTTGCAGAATTTGTTTGTGATATTCATTTCATCACAAATTCCTTCCGCTATTTTGCTAAAACTCTTAGTAATGATAATGCATACCCCCGCACAATATTTACAGTGTAAATGCTATCAGTCAATCTATTGGGATCCTCTCAAAACGCCGACCCTGACACTAATTGGGGTACCTGCTAAAGCGTTGCATCTCCCAGGCAATAGCCAGTTAGAAATAAACAATCGGCGATAACATCTGTTGGCATGGCGAAATAAAGGTCTATGAAAATCATAAGGGAAACAAGTAATCAGGTGAGCTGTCAGTATAGGTGAACGTAATCTGGCGTGGAATAGCTACCAAATTGCAGAGATAATTCATACAGATATATTTCACCTCGTTTTTTGTAGAATGATTAGTTATACTTCACGTGACATTATTTAAAACGTGCACATCATGTTTACATACTTTTTGTCAGCTAAATATACTCAAAGTTTTATTGGACCTGGTACACGCCTCTAAGGTGGCCATGCAGGTCTCTGATGACTGGTTAACTTTGTGTGCATTCGAAGTGCTGATTCGTGATCATTCGTATTTCAGCGTGCGCTACGTCATCAGTTAAATTGCGACACTATACAATCGGCATTAGTCCTGACGAGTACAAGCAGAATCACAAATACACGTGCATGAACGTCGCTATATAAGTGCAATAATCTTGAACGCGACGTTAAACCCTATTTCGCCTTGCCTCACCTCACCTCATCGTCAAAAGTCACGTGGTGCTGGTTCTGGTCTGACGTCACAAACAAATTACTGAGTACTTGAATAACTGTTATTTGTAACTTCTGGTAACTTCTAAAGTGAATTGGTAAATCTGATTTAAACATAAATTTATATGCCTTGTGTTGATGCGGAGATACAGTAGGCGTGTCACGATTCATCGATACATCGATGCATTGCGCATTTGCAAACCATGCATCGACTCGGTTTCAGACATTGATATCTATTTTCAAAAAGTAACATTTACGCACTTTTGCAATAACGAGGCTGGCATTTACCCTATCACGAAAAACCCATTATGATTTCATAATCTGTCAGCCAGGCCACGTTGAACATCGATAATGTCACGCAAAAACGACGCAAATTACGTATCGCATCGCAACGCTGCTAAAACTTCATATACTCATATTGCGGTTTTTTTGTATACGCAATGATTCACTTATCTCCATGCATTTGTTCAGGATAAAATTTAATCCCAATCATCAAGAGATTCTAGATTCCACATTCAAACATTTTGATGATGATAATGATGTTGGAGATTTAACGAGCGCTTTCGATGTTGCCGATGTCGCACATTTTGAGCATTTTTAATTCTATAAATTCAAAATTCATGTAGTCTATGGTGGTCTCGGCAAATGAACTGAAAATAATAAAACATAATTTAAAAATCAGTAAACATGAAATGAGTATCAATTTTATTCTATGTTCTATATAAACTGACGTCCAAAAGAAACTTTACCAGAGTTTGAAATCACTTTTGCTCAAAAACAACAAAACATACATGCATGAAGTAAAGTGTATTGAAAAGATCAATATATCAACATAATCAACACTGAAAATGACAATCATACCGCGACCGAGAATGACGTCAGAGCCCCCCAAAGTTGGATGTGGTACAAAACTCGAGCTTTCAGAATCATGGACAATAGGCAGAGTACATAAACAATCGCTCACGTTCAATAACAAGTAATTAGTAGGGTGTGTGACCACCAAATGCCTCAATACACGCAAAAACTCTTCGACGCACAGAAAAAGTCAGTCGTCTGATTAGGTCACGTGGGATTTGACGCCATTCTTCTTGGAGGGCCAAGATCAGTTCTTGCCGGTTGGCTGGAGAGTGTGGTCGTTGTCGAACCCGACGATCCATCAAGTCCCAGAGGTGTACTATGGGGGACATGTCGGATGAGCGTGCAGGCCGGGGCAGGGCGTTGACGTTGTTGGCTGCGAGGAAGTTAGTGACAATTCTGGCTGTATGGGCTCTAGCATTGTCATGCTGATAAATGACACCACGTGGCTGCTGTTGGAGAAATGGTAGGACAACTGGACGAAGAATGTTATCCATGTAACGCTGAGCTGTCAAGTTTCCGTCAACGATGACCAGCGGTGTCCTCTCCTGCCCACAGATCCCTCCCCACACCATGACACTCCCTCCACTATATGGTACGACCTCCTGCACGCAACACGCCGCCGTTCGTTCACCCCTTCGGCGGTAAACACGTTGTCTTCCATCAGCCCTAAACATACAGAATCGACTTTCGTCAGTGAAGACAACCCTCTGCCAGTCACGTCGTTGCCAACTTCGTACAGTCAGGGCCCATCTCAATCGCAGACGACGATGTTGCGCTGTCAATAGCTGTCCTCTGTATGGCCTAAAAGCCCTGATTCCATGAGCCCTGAGTCTCCTGGCCACTGTCTGTCGACTAACCCTGTGACCTAAGGCATTTGTCGCCGATGACGTCACTGTCAGGAAGCGATTTCGGAGGTACAAGGTACGCAAGTACCGGTCATCATGGGGCGTGGTCACCCTGGGTCTGCCTGTTCTTTGCCTGTCAGCGGTCCCTGTCTGTCTGTAACGTTGCATCAAGTTGGTAACGGCAACACGGGAGCAAGCGAAGGTTCGTGCAATATGGGCTTGGGTGGCTCCCATCTGTACCATACCCAAGGCTCGTTCAAGTTGTTCGACTGTGAGTCGTGGCATTTCTTTATGTGTTTTTTTTATCACTGTGGATGTCTGACTTGCCGTTGCAATCGTTTTATACCCTTACCCGCACGTGCATTTGCAGTTGTCCGTGGTGCACGTGTTTTCACTTTTTCGGGTGTTATCTCGAAAACATGTAACAGACGATTAACATTTTCTGCATACACTATTGTTGTATTTAGGTTATGTGTTTTAGATAGATATATTTTCAGTTGGGAAAGTTTCTTTTGGACGTCAGTTTATAATATATTTCCGACATATAGAATATACTTTTGTGCCGCTCCTTACAAATCCTCATATCGCCAACAGACGTCAATCGTGTACACAACGCCATTGGGAGACTCAAACGCAGTGAATCATCGAGTGAATAAATGTTTGACAAATCGTGGCGAAATTACGCACTTCTGATCCAAAAAAACGTCAACGTTGAAATTTCCCATCTTACCCCTGTCGCCCATGTAGGTCATAATATCTACTGTCATACCTCACTGCCAGTTGTTATGTGTTCCCAATTATTTCATCATTATCCCACAACAATTACTGGAAACAAATATTATTTTGGAAATTATTTCGAGTACCCCCTACTTTTCTTGAAGAGTATAAATGGATGTTGGAGCACACCTCGAAACCATCTGTGAACTGGTCTAGGTACATGATGTATACCCAACCCTCGGTGCTGTGGTTCAAGTACATCTCTCTTTAAGATACACCGTGACACCTGTCTAGCATCCCCAACAACACTGGCATTTACGATCAAGGGGCTACCTGCACAATTGCGAGCACTTTGAACTTTTTGCCGTGTCACAGACAGCCACTCGACTAGTAAATAGGGGCAAAGATCCGAGGTCGGTTGCACGGTGGCAGAGTTATGGCGTTTACACTGGGAGTCTTGAGATATGTCCTATATATACACCTCAAGGTCAAGGTAGAAGAAGAGTGGGTTCAACCCGTGAGCTTCATATGACATCAGCCTGGTTGCATGTGTATGCTGCGCTAGCGCTACTGTGTAGCGCAAACGCAGCATACAAAGGGAACCAGGCTGCATATAACAATTTCTAATTATTCATTCAATCTTAGTGAATTAAGTTTAAAAGAATTTTCCTGACTATATGGCGGCTAAATTTCGTTGAAGCCTTTGAGTAAACTAACAATTTACAAATTCGTAAGTCAGTAACGCGCAACCTTGTGCTAGTTAGAAACTAAGTGTTGTTTTACTCCGCTGTCGCAAACACACTTTTAATGGTGAACTGTCAAAGATCTCGAATATGTACGCACTGCAGCCAGAATCAACAATCTGACCCATTGTAACATTTGGATCCTCATTTTAGTCGAATCTTAGAAGCAAGGGGAAATTATATGCTGAGTGAAAGGAGGCAACAGCCATATTCCAAAGTCGAGGCGATTACGTCAGAGTTAAGGAGAGTGCGTTCAATTTGTTCAGTGAGCTTTACATATAATTGTTTCTGTGAGAATGGATTCCTATTATATCCTGAAATGGAACAGATGAATTGACTGATTGCCTGCCATTGGGGTTTCCAGTGCTCACTTGCACAAAGCGAACTTAACGCTTGGGCTAAAATCCCATATTTGACATCGGTATATAACCGACTTACTTGCATGGCTCGGACGTTTACCACGTAAGCCACAAGCATTGGAATGGTGCTGAGAAACCTAGAAACCTAATCGGGGCGAACCGGGATTTG